AAATAGGCGATTTCATATGTTTTTAAATTTTAATTTAACATGTGATTATATCTAAAATATTCTAACGAAGATTCAAATTTAATATACTCATGTATACTTCTCCTAATCCTTCTATATAATACGAGGTAAGTTTATTTATTTTCGGTTTCCGTAAACACAATCATCCCCAGTGCAAAGATGATAACACGTGTAAAAAAAGAACTTTGACTTGAAGATTAGTATTATTTTTCTTTTTAATTCTGCCATTACGTTCTTAGAAATAGTTTCAATTAGTAAATTCGCTAGCATGAGAGATAACGTGTGCTAAGTCGTATTATATGCGCGAACGATGGTTTACGCACGAGTTTATACACATCTGACTTTGATTTAATAACTCTATCGTATTCCATTCACCTATTCAGAACGGAAAACAATACCTTGAGTATAAACGTGTTTTTCATATTTATGAAAATTAGATCGGGACTTGCGCTTAATATTTATATTACACTCATGATGGGGTTATCATTAATTTTTCAGTTTTCGTATAAGTTTGTCTTGATGACGAATGCGAAAAATTGGTAGCGAAATGGAAAAGAAGAAAAAAAAACAAAATGTTGATGCTAAATGACAGTTCTATACATTTTATTAGCCGGGGAAGCTAAGCGAACAATCACGACCCAAAACAGTCAATTTAAAGTATAATAACAACTATTGTTACAACCAGTGGTGTTGTTAATGGGGGGGGGGAGGGATTTCCACCTCCCCAGATTTTTTTTGAATGATATTAAATAATAAATAATTTACATATTATAGTAAAAATATATTTTAATTTATTATAATTAAGTATATATTAAAAATTAAGTAACAAAATAATTTTTATTAAATACAGGACATAATAATAATACCATTTTAAATGTAATATTATCTTATAGGACCTCGTATTAGAAAATATCAATAAGAATATTATGAATTGACTCTTAAACACCCTCCCACCCTAAAAAGAATTGTATCTACGCCACTGGTTACAACTTGTATTTCTATACTAATAACAGTTGATTCCTATAATAAAAGGTTTATCCCGATCGATACAACTACAGAAGTCGACGTCACTACTTATTTATTAATTTTTCTATTATTTTATTTGTCGAAAATTACCTAGCTAAAAAAATTACCCCCCTCCCCCTCAACGCAGATTTAGCCTGAATGATGTATACGAAGCATATAAATATACTGTGTTTAGAATTATATAATCCACGGACGAACAGATTTCGCGTGTAATATGGTCGTCGTTAATCTCGAACGAATAGCATTTTCCAAGTAGGTACTACCATTTGACAAATCTATTTTTGAGATAATTCACTGCAGAAATGTTTTGATCGATTAACCCGTGACGGGCGGCATAACGTCTGTGTGCACGCGCCAACATAACAAAACCCCATAAATCGAAATCGGTTAACATGATATTACGAGTACTTACTGCTAAACACAATTTGTTTCATTTCGAGAGTTTCGGCGGTCGACCGCGACCCGTTGGTTAATCGATTCCGCTTACACGCATATGGCATACAAATTATACCCCGTACCAACATACTTATACACATTACGTATATTGTATGTCCATTGTTTATTTTGTTTTCGAATCGGAACAAATTTACAATGCACCAACGAACCGGTGTACCGCGTTTAACTAATGCTCGAAACATTTCTTTTAAAAGAAAAATGCATTCGCGTTAATTTCACTGAAAAGATATTCAAAGGTGTTTAATCCAATTTGTCGGTATTTACATGGTTCGCCATTTAAATTCCTCTATAAGCTATACGCATATATTGTATACTTACTCTGGATAAAATATTGAATATATTTTCAAGCTCTGAAGTGGAATTCTAAACAATTGACACCATTTTATTTTTCGAACATTGTATATGTATATTTTTATTCACATATAGTAGGTATATTTCAAGATGAAATAAGTAAAATTGTTCTATTTATACCTACCTATTGTTTTTTTGTTACAATATTTCGTGTTCAAACGCATAAAGTACGAGTATTACTTAAAATAACTGTTGTACATATAGTTTAGCAACAGGTACGGTATCAATCTCGTTCACTTTAAACTAGAGATTTTGACGTCAGATTTAGATAACAGAATGAAAATCAAACTTTAAAATTGTATGAAAACTTTTTAAGATAGACTACAGTTTTCAATGTGTAAAGAAGTTTTAAAAAATATACGCGAAAAATAATACGGTTGCACTTTCATATCAAACATCCTCCGTACTATACATTTTTTCAAATGTTCATATTAAAATGGGACTCCCACTAAAAACTAATGTGTTTAAATTAATCGCTCACAAATAATATTAATTAATACTTATCCAACCAAAAATGAATGAAACTGAAGAACGCATTTCAAACGAGTGAATTTTCACCGAACACTACCTATAATACGCTTAAGTGTATAATAGTTTGCACGTACATTGCTCTAAGTAAAAACTTTTTACATTACTCGTCAAACAACACAAATTAATTAACTGCATAGCACATGTAATGTTTTACCTAATATAACCCTTCACATTACATAAAAATATAATGTCATTTTTGAATTTATTAGAGAATCTTTTATCAAAATATCATGTATTTTTAAGAAAAATACTCGTCTTTTTTACGAAAATGATCTAGTTACGTTTAATAGAAGTTAAATGAATATGTATAGATTTATATTTATTTATACTTTTATTTGAATACCATTCCTTAACCATCCAAACGCGTTGGAATAGCCTATTGTGACTTTTACAGTATCAACTATCTGCAATAATCTTAATTTAAAATTTCAGCTGGAATACAGCTAAGTTTTAATCAAGTTACAATAATTATCCAGAGTACCTACATATTTAGAAGTCTGTCAATGTATTTTTTCAATAAATTACAATTATAATAATCAATAATTTCAAAATCGTTCTATACGTTCTATGCTATGCTATAATCTATAATAATATATAATAATTACTTTACTTGGGTAAAATCAGCTCATCAAAAATATCTTCTTTTCTTAGTATTTCAATGGTCAATATAATAGTGTATTATTCAAATTATTATACTCATTTAATATATTATTATGTTAAATCCATTTTCAATCAATATTTTATTGATGCAATTTACATATTTTACCAGAATAAATAAAAAAAAATCATGACAGAATTAAATATTTAAATTTATTATTTAATCAACCAAGTAATTTAGATATATTGGATGATTCAACAAATTAAAAAACTTTCGATCTGTTTAATAATTTTAATTTTTTTTTTTTAATAAATACTTAGGTCTCGCATTATAACGAAATTGTATTAAATTATTTTTTTAATACTTAAAACTCAAATGTTCAAAATTTGAAAATTTGAAATTTTAATCTGCATTTCGAAAAGTTTTTTTAGAAAAATCAAGATTAAAATTAAATTTTCCACAAAATTTATTGTATTTTCATTATTTCTTTTGTATTTTAAGAAAAAAAATGTACAACTATGTTAGTTGGTCTCAAAAATTTTGGCCCACTCTTCCTCTTATATGAGAACATTGTTAAACATATTCAATTATTTTTTTTTTTTATACTTACTTTTTAAAGACCACTCCCCTAGATCTGGCACTAATATCAATGATGTTATGTGCAATAGTCAAACGGTAAAATTGGATTTCGAACATTGATCAATTCATTTTTTTTTTACAAAATTGACCATATTCACTTAACCAACTAAAAATATAATAACATTTACTGACGGATTGCATTATCCAGAATAATTTTGAAAATCTTAATATATTTTAATGCTTAAAAAAATATTTAAGAAAAAAACATTCATTAAATAACATCAAAATTAATATGATAAAATTATTAATTAATAAATTTATTATTAATTAATAAATTTATTATTAATTAATAAATTAATTAATTACTAAATTTTAAAGTTATATTAGGGATAGCACGTATAAATAATACTATATAAAACTGGAACCTTTATATTTATAACATAACAATACAATAATGCGTTAAAAAATTTGTCAGAAAATGTATATAAAAAATTCAAGCAATATATTTTTGGTTTTTAATTTCGTGTACACTTAATTAGTTATAAATTATAAGATTTTAATTTAAAAACTTATTAATTGCATAGTATTAAATTACCGATATTCATCTGTGAAAAAATTAACTACATTTAAGCATATTACATACATTATAATACCTACCACATTTAAAAAAATACATTTAATAATACTATTAATTTACATAGATAATATTTTTTAACAATTTTTATTAAAATTTAAGTACTTCTATTTAAAACACAATAAATTAGGTACATTAATATATAAATAATATTCCATCTGTTCTTTTTTGATATTTAATACGTATCTTATATCTGTAATTGATACACCATACAAATTCTTTTATGAAATATTATTAATACCTACATCAATAAATATTGTATTGGCATCTATATGTATATTATAAATAATTATTGTACTTATATTAATTTATGAAACTTAAGGAAAATTCCATAATCATAAGTTTCTTTCTGTTTACGAGTATAAGTATAAAAATCCACTAGTAATAAACAATTTGTCAATTTTTTTCAACAAGTTGTCATTTTTTATATTTTGCATTTTTTCAATAAATTATTAAAATTAAATTCAAATTTGATTTCCGGCATGACATAATGTAAATATTAGTTACCAAGTTGGATGAATAATTTTCTTCGAGTTGCACAGTACACTATTTGAATATCACATTTATAAGTTGCATAGTACAAGCCAAAAATATCATAACTAGAAAACTACTTCAATCATATTCATAATCAATAAATTATTTACATTATATTAATATGTTAACTATTAATAATATCAGAATATAATGCTATCATAATAACTCTTAAACTGATTATGTATTATAGTTTTAATTTTGACTAATCATTTCTTTATGTGTTGTTATAACGTGTCAATTTGCAAAATGACATAACGATGCAATTTTTTCTAGGTGCTTTTGGGTGGTGGTAGAAGACATTGGTTACCAAAAGTAGCACAGGACCCAGAACAACCTACCGATGAGGGTAGACGGTTGGATGGTCGAAATTTGATAGACGATTGGATCAGAGACAAAAAGAAAAGAAACATAAAAGCCGAATACGTGTGGAATAAGAGTCAACTAGACAAAATAGAAGCAAAAAATGTAGATCATCTTCTCGGTAAATAACTATCTTCAACTACTTTATGTTTTTTAATGGCTTACTAAAGGCTTCATATCTTATTTAGTTAGCCATCAATATTATGTTTCTTTGAAATTTTGGTTACCTATTCAACATTCCACAAATAATTTGTTTTCCTATTTATTGCATACTTTTTTTTTTTTTATCCAGTACTATGTAGTATTTTATTATTATTTTAACTAAATTATAATAATTTTCCAAAATAGAATTTGAAAAATTAACTAATAAATTTTAAATTTATTTTATCAAGATACAAAGTTTGAATACTTTTCCAACTTGTCGTTTAAATAAGTCCAAGTTATTATTACTTCTTAAATAGAAAAAAATGTACACATATTTTATGAGCTACGTTGTTTGATTTATACATAAAAGTTTGAATTGTTCAATATATTTTCTGATTTGCAAAGTATAAAAATGTAAAATTATATAAAAAATACTTTGAAACTATAACTGTTCATATTGTTATCGATATTATACGAAATAATAATAATAATTTAAATAATACTATAAATAATAATATATTTATTAATATACAATATTATCGATGAACATAATATCCTTAAATAAATTTTTCTGTTTTAACTATAAGTAAGTTAAGACAGCAAAAACTAAAAATTTAGTTTATAATACATAAATATTTAAATCTCTATGGTTAAGTATATGATTCCATGTTACATTTTCATATACAAATTAAAAACTATGAAGATACTTGTCCATTAAAATAATAACACCTCAATTTCCAGAGTTTAAAAAAAAGGCTTAATATTTAAATAAAAATTATATGTACGAAATGTTAGAAACGATATATTTTAACTAAAATAAATTATAACTATGGTCATGATTTCAACTAAAACGGAATATATTTTAAATAAATAACAATACGCTTTACAAATTCAACTTGCTGATATGCGGTCGTGAGAGAAAACGCTTTCTTAATGATTATTAATTTTATATTTTACTCTTACTATTTTAATACATTAGAATTTATATTTTATTATGTTGATTTTTTTTTTTTGTAATAAAAATGCCTAATCATAAATGCATCCATCCAATTTTCTTAATTCTTGTTGAAAAAATGTAGGAGTAAATATATGTAACGATAAATTGTTTAATACTTTAATTGTAATATTAAAAATTAAATTTTTCTAATTGTTTAAATAATTATTATAGTGTTGAAATGCTACATTGTGTTTTTTGATGAATAATAAAGAGAAAATATTCTTAAACTATATTTAAATAAAATATCTTATCATTAAGATAATTTTACTAAAAAAAAGTATAAAGGTAAAAAAGCATATTATAGTACTTATAACTACTTTTATTAAATCTGTAAGTTATAAGCCCTGGTTATAACATTTTATCGATGAAGCATAATCATCAGCAATAAAATAACGTTTTTTATCTGCAGTTATAATGTAATCGATAAGAATCATAATAAATTTAAAAATGATTTATAATATATTCTACATGATGATACTAATTAACAACACAGCCTTTTTCTATATTTTATGTTCAATTATAATATTTTGCGTTTATGTATATGAATAATAAGTTAAAATATTAAACTTCTAATCTAATTCACATTTTTAAGTTATTCATATATTATTCTGATGTAACTTTTTATCGTTTTTTTTAAGGTACTTTTTTAATCTATTGATGAAAACAATGTAATTATTAAACTATTTAAACATTTTACATATACTCGTAAAGTAATTAAATAATGTAAAAAGTAGATTCTTATCCTAAATTAATTGGAATTCAAAGAAAATACAAATTGGTCTAAGTATTTTTATTAATTCATATTTTAAAATTAAAACAAACTTTATGAACATTTAAAATTTTTATTAAAAATCGTATATCATTTAAATTGAAAACATTTCAGTTATTTAGATAAAAACACATCTTGCACTGTTCTCACATACGCGTGGATCATGTGACATGTAACACCACAAGAGAATCTTAATGGGGGTGGTTTATTTTTTTCATTAATACTTTTGGAATGGAACTTTTTGGAAACGATTCAAAAAAAAAACAGGAATTGTGGCAAGACCGGTGTCTCGTAACGGTCCTTAGTTGGCCGGGAGCCCAAAATATCGACTGTTGAAATATACAATGTCTTTGATAGAAAACCGCTGAGCAAAGTCAAATAAAAGAACTGTCGCATTCGCGTGTGTATGTCTTAGGTTTATTCGCGTATTCTCACATGGAGTTCGAGGTGGACCGAGACAAGGGACAAAACGGTGACCCACCCCTTCATGAGATGGCTGTCAAAGCTTTATCTATACTTCAGAAGAACAACAAAGGATTCTTTCTATTTGTCGAAAGTGAGTATGTTTTTAAAATTCTTTTTTTCTTAATATTTTCTTAATATCATATTTTCATGACACGTTGAACACAACATAACGTGTGTTCATTACTGACATTGTTAAAATATTTTCCCCAAATTATGCAATTTAATTAATATTATGTATAGTGACCGGTCTCTTTAATCATAGGATAATCATTTTGTTTTTCCGTAGTACTGTAAACATTTTTAAATCTTTCGATGTTGTAAAATATAAATACTTAATCGAAATCACTGTAATCTTTTAGGTGGCCGTATCGACCACGCGCATCATTACAACAACCCTTACAGAGCTCTAGAGGAGACGCTTGTTTTGGAGTCTACACTAGAAGCTATCATGGCCAAAGTGGATTTGTCCGATACATTGGTCGTTGTCACTGCAGACCATTCACACGTGATGACAATGGGAGGACTGGCCACGCCTCGCGGCAACGACATATTGGGTACGTCCGGCTTAAATTGTATATATGATTATCCATACTTTGTTGCTAAGTAATAGATATTGTCTCTTTTTTCCATTCTAACTCAAAACTTCTATAGGTCTGGTACGTTAAAATATATTATGATTCTAACAATTTACAATTTCATTGAAAACGTATATCGTGTTAATTGTATTGTTTAGTAAAACTTTTACGGTACCTAAAGACGAAGTAAATGTTTATTTGCAATTAAAATCAGTTTTATGCTTCCAAAACGTTAGTCGAATCTAATCAATTCAGTGATGTTAGATAAATAGTATAATGATAACATAAATTATAATTGACGTGGACGAATTGTGAACCACGAAAGTATAATATTCATTGTGTACAAGTTATTAACTTAAGGCCAAGCGCCTACCAATATAACGTGACGTGTAGCATCTAGCACGCTATTTTGTATCAAAACAATGTAATTAATAGATTTAACGCCAACTAAAGTGATACGACAGTGATAAACAAACTATATATTACTTCGGTGTCATTTTTTGCCACGTGCAACTTACCTCAAAGTGATTAAAAGGCGCTGTTCTGGTAAAACTGAGTCTCTAAAATTAGTATATTGCTTCCTAATCGATGGTCCTGCTTTTTGAAGTAATAAACTAAATGTATTTGTATTCATTCTATAAAATTATTGGAATCGCTCTGGATAGGTATTTAATTCTTTGAATACATCAAAAACACTACGTTTAATTTTTTGATTCTTTTTCCAGTATGGATAAACCCAATATTGTCTTTTTTTTATTATTTGCGTTATTAACATTGATTAAATTTACTAAAGCCAAAAAACTTTCGTCATCGGACTAAGAAGAAGACATATTGATAACTGGTGTTACTAGTTTCTAGATACATAGGTAGGCGTTGTGTCACACCATTCGTCATTTTGTTGTTACGTGTTTGCTATATCACTTGCCGCGCTACATGTCACGTTACTTTGGTGGGCGCTTGGCCTAAGACTCTTCGATTCGGTGATACATGACTGCGGATAGTTCTTATCGGGGCGACCTTTTTAATCAAAGTTAAGCGGACCCTCGAATATTACACTAATGCGGACACATGTTGCCAATTTTATAAATAAAACTTCGATAATGTGGGAATGTGGAAATTCTGAGAGTATTAAATTTAGTATGCAGTTACAAGTCATTTTTGTTAAATACTGCTGTTAGAATAAATTAAATTAAAGAAGTTTAAATGAAATTCAAGGCGAAACTGAAACAATTATTTCATCCATAAACAAAGGTTGAGAAAAATCGATGGCAAAAAAAAGATTTAGATAGAATCAACCTAACTATTCAGATCTATAATGATTATAAAAATCACCAAAACGTGACTATTTAAAAAAAAAATTAGTTGTCATTACAGGGGGAAAAAAGTATACATTTTTAACTTTATATGCTTATATTATATTATTATATTGAGTGCTTGTTTTTTACTTTTTTTGATTTTAAATTTTTAACTTTAAATGTTTATATTATATATTATTATATTAATAAACTACGTCGCACAACTTGGCAACGTTTCATTAAATTTCGACCGCAGTCGTGTCATTTTTTTGGGTGCAAAATAAAACCTTTTGTTATATAATGATCGTCCGCAATCGGGTTGTAAAAAAAGGTAAAGCGTCCGCAGTCGTGTTTCACCCCTTTGATTCGTTTGTAAAGATTAACTGCATTTTTATCAAAAATAAATAAACTATCCGACTAATTTGTCCCAATTAATTTTGATATGCTACACTATTGCTTAAATAATATCGTTAAAACTTTAATTATTTGCCCCTCGAGATATGTCTTAATAGCATAAATTATTAAAGTTAACGTTATGTTAACACAGCTCATATTCATTCCAAAATTTAAAACAAAATGTTAATACACTTTTTTTCATTAGATTCTTAATTTTATAGTTATATATTAACTGAATTAATAACTGATGAGTTAATTATTTGCTTTGTATAATTTCAAAGCAATTACATTTTTAAATTTATAAAATCTTTCTAATTTGTCAAAATATATTAGAATTAGGTAATTATTATAAATATCAATAGGATATTATTCATAGTTTGAGGTCAACTTAATACAATCAAAAAGAAAAGATTTAACTAAAATAAACGAATCAATATTGATTTGTCAAGATTAGTAAATTTAATTATTTCACCATTAATGAAACCTAATTCACTCGGTATTAAGATAATATAGCGGTTTAATCGTAATTTACGTGGTATCTTTGATCAATACTTTTAAACCAAGATTACTGTAGATTTCACATCGACCTTACTAAACGAGGAACTTGCAACGATTATCTTAAAAAAGTATATTTATAAATATAAATTTAAATACATAAATAAAAATACAAAAGTATTTATATTTGTATGGGCAGGGCTTAAAGTAAGGAGGGCTCAGTCCTCTAACTTATCAATTATAAAATATATAATTTATATTATAAAAGGTTCCCGTTATAACATTTCTCCGAAAAGTTTACTCAAACGCTCAACTGTTTATCAAAAATAATTGTATAAAATAAAATAAATGAAAAATTGGCTTTGCGATTTAATTTATGTCACTAGAATTTAATAGTGTTTAATTTAGTTTAATAATTTAATAATTTATTTAGTTTAATAATTTAATTGTTCTACAAACAAAACTAACTAATATTAAGTATAAATCATTAATTTTATAATGATATATGTACCTATTTTTATATATACATTTTTATTTTATTTTTTATTTTATTAAATTATATTCACAATCTGTTATTAAAAACAATGAGTAAGTAATTTACAAACTTTTATATTTTTACACATGAATAGGTTTTTGAGGAAATGTTCACTTAAAATACCTCATAATATACATACTTATAAATAATTAATTATCTAATTATCATATGTAACTATATGGAATTATGAGAATGATATAAGGATTAGAGGTAAACTAACCTATTTGCTAAACTCATTGCTTTTTTTGCGACTTTAAACCCTGTGTATGGTGTATGTAATGACATTGGTGTTGTTGTGTCAGAATATTAGGTATACATCATGAAGTAGATGTAAGTACTTACAATGAAATAATACATCAGCTTTAAACTTTTATAAAACAATACAAATGTCCAATGTATTCTTATGCACACTATATTAATATACTCAAACTATGAATATAGTTATTTATTTTCTTTTCTCTGTTATGACACAAAAGAGCTTATAAATTTATACATTTGCAGATATCTAACCAACTAAAACATCGTAAGAATAATATACGACTATTTCGCATACACTATTCCCATTTGATCGTGACTGCACTAAACGAAAAACAGCAATAGCCCAGAGTGTAAAATAACTCATAAAATTCTCATTTTTTGCCCCGTTTTATTATGTTTTACCTCACGTTTCTTTTGAACTAAATAAAATATAAAAATGTTGTAGAATTCTCTAGTCGTATTACAGATACAATACATTTTAAATAATATTAACGAACAATTTTTACCAGAAACTTCTCCAGGTTGAGACCATATTACAAACATATTGCGTTAAATATCATAATCACTCATCTTCAAATATTTCTGAAACAGTTCAATTATTTGCTAACTACTTTTCTAGTGTTTTTGTTTCTGATTCAACAAACTTTAACGAAGAGTCCCAAATAATATCAAATGTGGCTTCAATGAACAATATAAATGTTGATTTAAGCTCCTGGATTATTGATCAAAATGAAATTCATGATTTTTTAAATGATTTAGATATAAATGCGAGTACAGGCCCTGATGGTGTTCCATCAATATTTCTAAAATTGTGTAGTTTTGAATTAATTAAGCCACTTTATTTAATTTTTTACAAGTCTTTAAGTTTAGGTTATTTCCTTAATATATGGAAAAAATCTTTTATCACACCAATACATAAATCAGGGGATAAACATAATGTTTCAAATTATAGGCCGATTTCTAAATTATCTCATATACCTAAAATATTTGAAGCAATCATAACTAAAAAATTAACCAAAATAATGTCTCCATACATATGTAAAAACCAACATGGATTTAGACCAAAAATGTCGATTTCGACTAACATGTTACTTTTCCAGTCTAAGATACTTGATTCCCTTAATACCCATGCCCAATTAGACTCAATTTATACTGATTTCCAAAAAGCATTTGATAAAATAAACCACAGCCTACTTCTAAATAAATTAGTTTTATTCTGCATCCATGGTAGTTTTTTAGATTGGATAAAATCTTATATTAGCTCTCGTACTCAGGCAGTAAAAGTATCTTTTAATATTTCAAACGACTTTTTTGTTACCTCTGGAGTGCCTCAAGGTTCTCATCTGGGCCCCCTCTTATTTATATTATTTATAAATGATCTACCTTCCATATTTGATAGCTCAGTCGAAGTTCTCTTATTTGCTGATGATGCGAAGATATTCTCAATAGTTAGATCTCCTGAAGATATTTTAAATTTACAATCAAATTTGGATAGGTTTGCAATTTGGAGCCGTCATAATCGCCTACCCTTAAATTTAAGTAAATGTAGTGTTATTAATTTTTCTCGAATGGATAATGCGATTTCTTATAATTATAAAATTGATAACTGTGTTTTAACGCGTGTTAATTCTGTTAGAGACCTAGGAATTGTTATCGAAAGCAATATGTCCTTTTCTATACATATAAATACTATAGTTAAAAAAGCCTTCAAAATGTTAGGGTTCATTAATAGAAGTACGAACAATTTTAAAAATCTTTATACATTTAAAACATTATTCTTTTCTCTTGTCAGATCTCATCTCGAATTTGACTCTGTAGTCTGGTCTCCTAGTTATTCCTCATATAAAGAGGCGATTGAAAAAGTTCAGAATAAATGTTTAAAACTTATATGTTATAAATTGAATATACCTACTTCCACCAGTTTGCAATACTCGGTTTTTGGATTTACAAGTACTGAACTAAGAAGGAATGTTGCAGATATTATGTTCATATTTGATTTA